ACGACTTCAAGAAGCTCTTCAAAATCGGTCCCAAAGGTAAGAAAATCAGGCATGGCGCTGTCTGCATCCATTGCCACAAGGAGTACTCCGGTAGATCTAGTGGTGGCACTGGACATCTTCATCGTCACCGTGCTAAATGTGCTAAGAGGCTTGAGAAAACTAGGAACTATACTCAGTCTCAAATCTCTTTTAATCCTGATGGTTCTATGCGTAATTGGGACTACTGTCCTATGCGTGCTCGTACTGAATTGTGTCGATTGCTTGCTAGGGTAGATGTTCCTATCAGCTTTGGTGAATCTAATGCTTTTGAGGAGTACATAAAAAATGCTCATAATCCTAAGTTTGTTGCTGTCTCTAGACAAACCACCACTAGAGACTTGACCAAAATGTTTGATGAAAGAAAGGTTAAGCTTGTTGAACGACTTGCTTCTGATTCTGTTAACTGTGTTTGCCTTACCTCCGATATATGGTCTGGCAATGCCAAAGAGAATTATCTTAGTGTTGTTGCTCATTACATAAATTCTGATTGGCAACTAGAGAAGAGGGTGCTTGGTCTTGTGCTTATTGATTGTTCCCATAATGGACAGAACATTGCTGATAGAGTTGCATCTGTACTTGGTGAATATGGTGTGCTTGAAAAAATGTTTGCTGTTACTTTGGATAATGCTTCATCTAATGTTTCTGCCATGCGTATGCTTAGACCTATTTTGTCTAAATATCTTGGTCTTGAGGTTCCTGCAGAGGATCCAAGACATCCTGAATCTGCTGTTACTACTATGTTCTTGCATCAGCGTTGTGCATGTCATATAATCAACCTGATTGTTAAGGAGGCACTTGACTTTCTTAAACCTTTGATTGAAGTTTTTAGAACTACAATATCATTTTTGAACTCATCTAACCAGAGAATTGCAGCATACAAAAACTACTGCATTGCAGCTGGTTTTAGGCCAAGAAAGTTTCAGTTAGACATGGATGTGAGGTGGAACTCTACATATCTCATGCTTAAGACTTTGTTTCCTCATAAAGATCCTTTCACTACTTTCATTCATGCCAACTATCCTAGAGTTGAAGATGGTGAGTTGCTTCTAACTGAGGAGCATTGGACTGTTGCTGAAAAAGTATTCAAGTTTCTTGAACTGTTCTATGATGCTACAGTTGCATTGTCTGGTGTTTACTATCCTACATCTCCACTTATGCTTCATTATCTTGTTAAAATTGCTATACACCTGAATAATTATGCTAATGACATTCACCTTAGAGATGTGATTCAACCTATGGTAGACAAATATAATAAGTATTGGAGGGACATACATTTGCTCTATTCTTTTGCATTCATTTTGGACCCTAGAGCTAAAATGAAAGGTTTCTCAAAAGTGCTGAGAAAGTTGATGAACCTTACCAGTACAGATTACAGTGCTTACCAGGTTGGCACTAGAGCTAGACTGACAGATGTTTACAATAAGTATGAGGAGAAGTTTGGAGCTATTAGGTTGAGAAGGACTGTCCCTCAAAACCTGTCTGGTAAGAAAAGGTCTGCTTAGGATGAAATATATGATGATGATTCTAATTCTTCTGGTGGGGGTATATCTTCTACTTCTATGCTGCATTCTACTCTTAATCTGTCTAGAGATACATCTGCTACTGCTTTGTTGCATGCTGCTACTTCTACATGTTCTAATGCATCTGAACTTGTTAACTACTTGGACTGTGACACTGTTAGCTAGTTGGATGATTCATTTGACATCTTGAGATGGTGGCATGAGCACAAACTGACATATCCAGTGCTGTCCATCATGGCTAAGGATGTTTTAATTGTTCCTGTGTCTACCATATCTTCAGAATCCACTTTTAGCATGACTGGCAGTATCATCGAGGAGCGGCGGAGGAGGCTGAAGCCGGAGACGGTGGAGATGCTCACATGCATCAAAGACTGGGAGTTGGCGGAGGCAAGGCTACAACACAATGTGGAGGACAAGGAGCTTAAAGAAGCATTTGAAGAACTCTATCTTGATTAGTGCTTATTGATGCCAAGGTACATCACTAAACCAAAACCTAACACAATGTGGAGGACATCACTAAATCTACATTATTATCCTAATGCTAACTCTGTTCTCTCTGCAGCACAATGTGGAGGACAAGGACAAGGACAACTGGACAAGGACAAGGACAACTGGACAAGGATTCTTGAAGAAGCTTTTGAAGACCTTGGACAATTAGTTTCTCTCTTAGTTATCATTTATGTAATGGGATTGTAATTTGAAACTTGGACAATGATGTAAGATTAAGAACAATGAACTTATCTGGAGCTTGGCTGTACTCTTTTCCTGCCTAGGGTTTCTCACAAGGGTGAGTTTTACCTAGGTGGGTTTTTAATGAGGCAGTCATTGCACAAGCTCCCTATCTATTACTATTTTCTTAACTCTCTGTGTGTTTGATCTGATTTTGCTTCTCCACTTCAATTTCTGGAGTTGTTGATTTGAAAATATGCTTGTGAAGTTAAATATGATGCTGCCAAATTGCTTGTGACAGAAAATGTTCATAGTGCCTGGGCTGGCACGGCACTGACGTGCCACCGTGCCTGGGGGCACAGCACGGCACGGCACGCTTCAGCCCTGATAGGGCCGTGCCTGGGCTGCTGTCTCAGCACGGTGGCACGTCAGGCATGGCACGGCGGGCCACCGTGCCGCTTAGTGCCGTGCCTTGCCGGGCCGTGCCTGACCGGGCCCATGCCCGTGCCAGGCCGGACGGCCCGGTTGGCCAACTATAGTTCTACCAGACAAAAGCAGTGAAACTACATGCGTCTGTCTTCAACATATGCTGTAGCTCCAACATATATTGCTGTTGAAGCGTGCGCGCCCCGGTCATCTTGACGACTTCACTTGGCCGTCCGAGGCTCTGCTGCTTTACGTATATGGATCGGTCCAGGAATCATCCTCGGCAGCAGACACCTCCCATCTCCTGTTGAATTCCTGCATCTCCTTGAATGATCACAACCTCCCCGCCGACGGCGTCGCCGTGCCGCCGTCACTGAGTATGGGGACGCCGCGGTGGAGCACGTACTCGCTGTCGACTACGCCAACATTGAGAGCACGGTCACCCTACGCGCAGTATCCTAGCCTGTAGTCGAGCCCCCAGCCGTGGATGAGGTCGTTCTGCACCCGAAAAGCATCCTGTCCGAACGGTCGGACCGGAGCCGTCCGCCGTATAGCGCGTGGGAAACCGTGGCGTGCAGGAGCGCACGTCCGCGCTCGGGAAAGCCGCAGGGTACGGAACTACCGAAGCAGGTACAGTACGTTATTAGCATGGAAGCAGGTACGTTAGTATCTCTTCATTTCTTTTTCTTTTTCTTTTCTTTTCTTTTTCTTTTTCTTTCTTCTTTTCTCCTTTTATTTTTTATGTTTCCTTTTCGTGCTTCATTTTTTTATTTTCCTTTTATGTTTTATGTTTTTTATTATTTGTTTATTTTTTATATTTTATGTTTCTTTTATTTTTTATTTCTTTTCTTTACTTTCTTTTTATTTATTATTTTTTATGGTCGCGTGTTGTACATGTGATGTTCTATTTTTATCTTTTTTTTCTTTTTTCTTTTGATTTCTTTTTTATTTATTTTATTTTGTTTTTCTTTGATTCATGTTTTTTATTTCTTAATTTTTTTTCTTTTTTTCTTTTCTTTTTTCTTTTTTATGTGTTTATTATTATTTTCATTTTTTATAAATTTTTATATTTTTTTTCTTTCTTTTTTTTCTTTTCTTTTCATATTATTTTTTATGATGTTCTATGTTGTTGTTTTATGTTCACGTAGTGATGTTCTATTTTTTCTATGTTCACGTCTTGTACATATGATGTTCTGTGATATTTTTTTAATGTCCACGTGGTATATATGTAATGTTCTATAATATATTTTACGATGTTTGTGTAATATATATGTGATGTTCTCGTAGTATACATGTAAATTTTTATGGTATTTTTGTGATGTTCACACAGTATAATGTGATGTTCTACGATGTATTTAGTGATGTTCACGTAATGTATATGCGATGTTCTATAATGTAGTTAGTAATGTTCTATGGTGTATTTAATGATGTTTACGTAATATATATGCGATGTTCTATAATGTATTCAGTGATGTTCGATGATGTATTTAGTGATGTCCACTTAGTACACATGTGGTGTTCTATGATATATTTAGTGATGTTCACGTAATATATATGCGATGTTCTATAATATATTTAGTGATGTTATGTGGTGTTTTTAGTAATGTTCACTTAGTACACATATGATGTTCTATAGTATATTTTAGGATGTTTAAAAAGTATTCATGTGATGTTCTTTTAATTTTTCTCTGTTACGTGTTTTTATTTTTTTTCTTATGCTTTACTCTAGATTTTATTATTTAAATTTATGTTATATATTTATTTATTTATTTTTGTGTATATTATAGTACTAATTTCATGAATCTAAAACTAGAACATTATTCTTCTAAACCGAGAACATTTTTCTTACGATGACGGAACATTATTCTCTGAACCTAGAACATTATCTCTGCTCAATAAAAGAAAATATTCTATCTTTATAAGATAAATATTCGCTAATAAAATTTTATCCAAATATATTCATGTGGGATCATGTTTTGAAGGATTTGTTGCGAGAAATCTGATGGTGTAATTGGAATTTAATTTTGATATTTGCTTTAGGAGTGATGACTTTTTTTAATTCATTAAAAGTCATTTGCATGTGTAGGTGAGTAGGCCCCACGCAATGGGACAGCCTGTCATCTGTCCACGCCCACGCCCTATCCTGCTGCTTTGCCAGCGCGGGTTAAGGTGGGCAGTTACGGTGTGGGCAGGAAAAGTATCGGCAGGGAGTTATGATCCGATGAGCGGACGCTAGCAGCCCCCTTCTGCACCATCCCCCACGCGCACCGCCACGCCGCGGGCGAGAACACGGGCACCATCACCTCCACCCACCCCTCACATGGCGCCCCGGTGCTGTCACCACCGTCACAGCGGGCGTTCCGCACGCTCCAGTGCACGCTGTCTGCCGTCAGCAACCGCGCGCGCCGTGATGGCGTGGTGGATCTCGGAGCGGCGGTTGAGCACCGGCTGCGACACCTCGAGGCCCTCCCTCCGCACGACGTCGAGGTACCTGATGGGGTCGAAGGCGTCGACCTCGATGTCCTCGTCCCACACAAAGACGTAGTCGTTCTCCGCCACCACGTCCGGGTGCAGGAACCGCTTGGCGAACCACCACTTGGTCTGCCCCCGCGCCGCCACGTGCACGGCCCGGTCCGACCACTCCAGGTCGCCCCACTGCTCCACCGCGCCGTCGTAGTGGAACAGCATGACGGTGAAGTCGGCCGCGGGGAACTTGGACACGAGCTTGTCCACAACCGCCTTGTTCTTGATCCCGGCTGAAACTGCCAGTAGGCTCTTCGGCTTTGGCGGCTTCCGTTGTCGTCGTTCGGGGTCCCCGGCCAACGACGGCTCCATCTCCAGGTTCGTGGTGTCATGGACGACGCCTTCTCGGCAGCGGCTCGCTGCCGGTGCCGGTCGGCCGGCGCCTATGTGTGCCGTGGTGCCTGCTGGTGGCTTCTTTCGTCAGTTCTGAACAGCCTCGATACGAAGTATTTTGCGCGGGAGCGGCCTCGTTGACTGATGGCTTCCAAAGACGCCGTCCTCGTGATCAAGTGCCGCGAGGTGTTTGTTGTCGTGGACTCGTGGTGGGCTTGTGGCGACTGGCAAGTGGTTCATTATTATAGGCCGCTGTGGGGCCGACCAGCAATGGTCACTCGGAGTCGGAATCCGAGTAGTTCAGAACGGGATAGGACACGACGACTGATCGGACTCCAGGAGTAGATTGCTTCTGTAACTCTAGCATTGTGTCGTTCTGGGCACTGAGACTGGCCTAAACGCGGCAGAAGGAACGCAGAGACACCTACGGCACCAGTGTCCACGTGGTACTCCCCCGGTTCTACTCCGTGCGTCCCTTTGCAACTGTCATTCTCGTACACTGAGAAGTTAAACATACTGTAATTTTCACCAAATACTTAAAAGATTATTAACATATGTAATGCGTAATAAGTATCATGACATTAGTCATTATATGTATATTTATAAAATACACTTATTTAGAGATAGTTTGACTGCCACGAAAATTTAGACGACACCTAAAAATGACAGAGGGAGTATGTACCTGAACTAATCAACTTTAAGAGCTTTTTTGAAACAAAGGAATTGTATAGGTATTTTATAGGAATTAGTTCTTTTTTACATGAGAAACACAGAACAAACGAAAAACAAATCCTGCATTGTTTCAAAAGGGAGGCTAAGTTATTATAAAGTTTACTCTTGTTGATGATGAATTATCGCGTTGTTTCATAATGATCTAGTTTTTGTTTGATTAGTTAGTTATGTTTCATAATGATTGTTACTGCATGAAATTGTATATGTTTGATACATAAACAATTTTTTCAAAGGGAATGGAGACTTATATTAAATCTTGGCACAGTACATCCTCAAATTACAATGAAAAAAACTGAAATAAAAAATACATAATATTCTATACAGATTATTTCATCGTCTTCTTCTCCAATGGCTTCCCTCGAATGTCGAAGCCAAAGTGCAGTCCTTATACCGAATTCAACGATCAACCTCAAAATATTGGACATGCCACATGATCCAACATTTCAGAATAAGAATTAGATAGTGCATCAATTTCACTATTGATAATGCTCTAGTTATGTATGTTAGCTTTTTTATTTTCGTGATGAATTTGAGACAAATGACCAAATGATGAGTGGAGTACATGAATCTTGTGAATGACTACCAACTTGCAAGTATACACACTTTCATATTCAAACTGAATGTGTATGTATTTTGTGTAAATTGTTCATAGCGAAGATAATTTATGTATTATGATATGAGGCCTTGGTAGATGATTTAATTGTGAAATTTTAAATGAATTATTGAATGGTAAGAACCGAGGTCTTTTTTTTCTTACTTTCACAATTGCCAACGATGAGTACAAGGTTCATGGTACCCTGTGTTTTTTTTAACCTTCTACTAGTCATGATAATAACCACCAAGAGCAGGAGACGGGACCTAAGGAAACAACTAGTAGGAAAGGAAAGAAAGCGTTTTTTTTTCCTCCACCGGCTCTGCTGTAGTGCCACGGCTAGAGGCCGTCTAAACCGACCATATGTATGGTGTTGTGCTACAGTTTGGTGTCCAGGTTTTGGCCCCAGGTTGGCCAGGTATCCAACTATTTCATTGCCGTATTCATTTCTAGAAATATCGTATCTGTTTTTTTTTTCAGAGAAAGATGTTAAAACTAGAAGCAATTTTTTTCATCGCTAAACCTACAGAAAGCATTGTTACTTTCAAGATTTTTCTTTCGCTCGCTCATTGCACTCTAGGCCAGTATGTAATTGAGCAACGCGTTCTAGCTAGTTTATAAGGACTCTCGTCTTTCACCTCCCTCTCGTCTATGCCCTAGGGTCAGCCGAGGCCGCAGCTGCCGCCGCCCGCTTCCACCACCGCTGGTCCCCTCTCTTCGCCCTCCAGCATCTAGCCGGAGAGCGAAGAGAGTGGAGATCCATCTCTCTAATAAGTTTTTTTCTAGTAAATCACGTTTTTTTAGTGTAAAGGTCTCTTCATGCTAAGTTCTTTGGTATTGTGGGTTTATCTCCTTCTCTTCCCCGGCGACGGCGAGGGGTAGGGTGAATTTGTATTCTCCATGACGACTCTGATGAAGATGAGGGCAACAACGGCGTCGGCAACTTCCTCGGCATGACGATCTGAACGGCGATATCAAGGCGGAGATGATGCTACCGCCATGCCTCCGCTTTGTTGTGGTTTGATCTGACCTCGATGAAGGACTAGGAGAATAAGTCTGCCCATCAAGCCAATTACTGGTATTGAGTTGGAAAGATTCAGATCAATTTTCCTTTTTTCTTCAAGGGCAAAAGGAAGAAGAAGGAAGACACAAGAAAGAAGTTTCTTAACTCCGCGTGCAGGAATGTTTGTCGTCGTTTATTGTATTCTCAGGGCTTTTGCTAAGTGTTTGTCTATGTGGTCCTCCATAAGAATCGTCGTACAGGTTTGTGATCGAGATTTGGAGCTATACAAAGCGAGGGTACATTTAAGATGAAAAACAGTTTCTAGGTATATATGTTATATTTTGTAACATGATGATATACTCAGCTATATTTTAATATATTTTTTCCTTCAGTCTAAAAAAAAAGTTCTAGCTAGTTTGAATTCTGGGTTTGGTTGGGTGAAGTGCTTGGTCCCATCGCGTGTATCTGCTGCTCATCTCATTGCGGCCATTGCACAGTTCATCGTAACGTTCCGGTTTCATAAGGTAAAACAAAATTCTCTGACGAAGAGAGATGGTATGGATCTGAGACCGAACCGAAGCAGTTCAAATCTCTCATTCTCTCGTATAAAGGCAACACATCCTTCATCATATTTGGTACCATGACATGTTCTAAACAGGTGCTAAACATTATTGTAAATACTTGAATTAACCCATAATCAAATGCCTACCAGATGCTACTTGATACCTAACAAAAGGAAGAAGAAAAAAACAAGTCAAACCCCTGACATTGTGCTTGCGCTGTCTTCTGAAGACCACATCATCCACATAACACGGGGATTCAGTGATACCGTGATGGTGGGTACTATACAACTAACTCCTAGTTACATGCACCTGGCCAGGCTTTGCAAAGAAGTTAACAATAGCATTCATCTGTTCCCACGAAAGGACAAAAACAACTAAGCCTGAAAACAACCAATCAGATCATGAAACCCATTTCATGCTTGCAACTTCATTGGCTGTCAGCTGATTCTGAAACAAAAGGCAAGAAACATCAGTGATCTGTGTGCCTCATCATATCACAACCGGCATCACCACAAGCTAAAGCCTTTCATAGTTATATAGATATGCATACCTGTTTGCTTGGTTGGTCCATTTTGACTGTTTTCTGGGACATCCTTGACTGTAGAAGATTCTGGAATCTCAGAATCGGAAGTGGTTTTAGCATTCTGCGCCTTTTCTGTCCCCGGTATGCACCTCTGCTCTAGCATCATCTGAAGACACTTCCCTTGTTCCTCAATTCTTAACTGCAAACTTCTTTGTATCTGAATTCCATGGAACAGCCATAATGATGAACTTCAGTAAGATACAGTATGCTGCAGACAAGGTTACCAGGCAATTTTCGGGAACAAACATTTACGGTTCAGATTGTTGGCTAGCTCAAATTTGAATCTGAAGTGGTTAGCAGCAGGGGCTCTATAAACCAGTTTTGGTAAACCTAGCATATTTTTTAAACAACAAAAATATGAAGCATATTGGCTGTAGTGCTTACGGTTCATCAACCAATGAAGCAACTATCATTATAGTCAACATACTCTGATAGAGGTAAGAGTCACTATAATATCTTAGTACATGCACTCTTAAGAATTGACCGTACTAATATACTAAATGGGCAATTATTTTATTTGGAGATCACATTACAAATAAAAATACAAGCTCCAAAATAATGCAAATTGAACCTGTAGCACAAGATGCAAAGGAAAACAGTGTCGCATATAAAAATAAAATTCAAAATCTCCTGGAGTTACAAGCTCAAGATGCAAAGGAAAATATGGTAAAATAAAATATTTTACCAACACCTCTAAGTTATACTTATTTTAGACCCATGCAATTTCAGATATCGAATCGAAAGCAGAGCAAAGTGTAATAGTACCTCAAGCTGTTCATGAAGCCTCTTTTGAAGTTCCAACTGGAGCCGAAGTGCTTCAGTGAGATCAAAACTCCTGCAGCAGTATAAAAATGATGCTCTGAAACCAGGCACTTAAAACAAAGACTAAAGTAACTGCATTTGTTCAGATGCAACTCTTGTGGTGCAACAAAAGAACCAAAGTTCAGGACCACATAACAAAGTAATTTGTGGATACCCATACAGTTTGGCTAACATGGCAAGCTGTTCCTTGATTAAAAAGTAATAAAACTAATAAAACACTGTTAAAAGGAAAAAAATATTTGAAACTGGATATAAAACTACTCACGAAGGAGAAGGAATCTGAAATTCATCAAAATACGTAGGCAATGCTGAATCCATGAATCTATGCTGTGACGGCACATTCAGTAAAAAAAAAGAAGCGTCGAAAATAGTTGTGTTTAACCAGATTGATGCACAAATAAACTGTCATATCTGTTTGATAATTGATTGGTGAACTTATTACGCTTCTATTCTTGCAAACAACAAAAAAAAAATTACGCCATCATTCATGTTTTTTGCTGAAAATATGATCATAATAGTATCTACTGTAAACAAATTTCCAGATCAGGCATTTCATGCAAAAACTTGATGATCAAAAACTCGACCACAAGGAGAAGACAACACCCTGGCTTTGTGTCACGCGACCTGCAAGCACCCAGGTTTGAGCCCAGGTGAATGGACTCTCAACTGGAGGCTCTACCAACC